GGGAAGGGAGGGGTAGGAGGGGTAGGACGTCACAGGTGATGCGAGCGCGCCCAGCTTGCCCCTCCCGCCTTTCCCTCCTCCCCCATCTCCCCATTCCTCGCTCCTCTCCCTTCCTCCTCCTCCTCCTCCGCCCTCTGCACAAACAAGTATTAAATCAGTATACCGCTCTCGTCTCTCCCCATGCCAATGTGCAGCTGTGCCCCCTCTCCCGCATATGTTTTGTAAACAGGATTTCTATGTTTTTAGATCGGATCGTTTCCGGCCCCTCTAAATGGGTATTGTTGCTTCAGCGCTGGCCACATGTCGATACATTTCGGGATTGGTTGTTTGCTCACGTCGTTCAGAATGGCGCTCTCGCCCCAGCGCGGATCCGATTCCTGTCTCGTCGTTGCTGTCACCCCTGCCTTCCCCTCCTCCGCCTTCCCCTGGTGCTCCTCCTCCTACTCCTGCTGCTCCTTTTCTCCACCTCCTCATCCCCCTTCTCCTGTTTCCTCCTGCTGCTGCTGTCCATTCGCCTACCTATCTTTTCCTTCAATGCATTCGGCCCCCCCCTTCCCGATTGCAGAGCAAGTCATGAGTCAAGTCCTGCAACTGCCATTTAGGGTCAAGGCCCTCTGGGACTCCCCAGTCCAGTCGACAGACAGAAGAGTGGTCAACGCATTAGGAAGAGATGGGGTTTCAGATGTGGCGCGATCGCGCCCAGCTTGCCCCTCCTCCCCCTTCCCGCCATTCCCTTGCTCAGTCAGCGGCGGCCTGTAGAGGAGGATGATGGGGGAAGGAAGAGGGAAGAATTTGGGGAGTTGGAGAGGATGCAGGGAGGGAAGGAGCGCGGGATTGCAAATGGATGGATGGATTGATTTATATTTTGATGGATGGGTGGGCGGCTGGAAGGATGGATGGATAGATGGAGGGAGGGAGGAGGGTGATGATGGTTGTGGTGCTGGTGGTCATGATGAGACAGTGAGGATGATGATGATGAAGACGAGGAGAAGGAGGAAGATAATGAGGATGATGAGAAGGAGGGTAGGAGGATCATGGGGGAGGAGGAAGAGGAGTTGGAGGGATGGGTGGGTAAGGCATGAACAAGATGGAAGAGGAGGATGAGGAGAGGGAGGATGGAGAGGATTTGCAGGATGAAGAGGACGAGGAAGAGGATGAGGAGGATGAGGAGTAGGAGGAGGAGGAGGAGGAGGAGAGGGAAGCTGATGATCTGCTGCTGCTGCTGATGATGATGATGAGGAGGAGATGTGGATGAGGCAAGCGCAGGGCAGTTGCTCGCGGCCGGATCCCTCTGGCCTCTTCTGTACTAGTTGCAATGCCTGCTCCATGCCCTCAGCAACAGCAGTAATGTCTTATTTGGACTGCCACAATAGAGCAGGACATGATGGGGATCATGAGTAGAAGGAGGAGGAGGAGGAGAAAGAGGAGGAGGAGGATTAGGAGGGAGGAGGAGGAGGGGGGAGGATGCGTGAGGGAGGAGTGGGGTAGGGGGGCAGGATACAGGATGCAGGTTGCAGGAGGTATGAAGAGGATTGTGGCAAGTGCGGGGGAGAAAATATACGGGAGGATAAAAAGAAGGAGGAGGAGAAGGAGGAGTAGAAGGACGAAGAGGAGGAGGAGGAGGAGGAGGAGGATAATGATGATGATGATGAGGAGGAGGAGGAGGAGCAGAAGGAGCAGGCAGGCGGAGTTGAAGCGGGGAGAGACGGACGGAGGTGGAGGATGAGAACGATGATGGAGGAGGAGGAGGAGGAGGAGGAATGCGAGAATAATGCTGAATGTGATGATGACGACGATGGTGGTGATGATGGTGATGATGCTGTTGGTGGCGATGATGATGCTGATCATGATGATTGTGATGGTGATGGTGTTGATTACGGTGATGGTGATTGTGATGATAATGGTGATGACGATGCTGATAAGGTAATGATAGTGCTGATGATGATGATGATGATGATGATGATGATGATGGTGATCGTGCTGATGACGCTGATGATGCTGCTGACGGTGGTGATGACGTTGATTGTGATGGTGGTTGTGATCCTGCTGCTGATGATGATAGGGGTGTGGCGAATAAGGAGGAGGAGGAGGAGGAGCAGGAGGAGGACGAGGATGATGATGATGACATTCTGGTGCTTTGCGATTGACTGGCGATGATGACAATGATGGTGGTGGCGATGCTGGTGGTGGCGGTGGTGATAATGATGATTAGTAGGTCGATGAGGGCGACGATGGCCATGATGACGAGGAGGACGACGACGATAATGGATGATGATGATGTTGATTATGACTATGATGATGATGCTGATGATGATGATGATGATGATGATGCTGATGGTGGCGATGATGGCGATAATGGTGCTGCTGCTGCTGATGATGATTATGCTGATGAGGACGACGATGATAAGGGGATTATGATGATGATGATGATGATGATGATGATGATGATGATGATGATGATGATGATGATGATGATGATAGTGTAGCTGTTGTTGCTGCTGCTGTTGTGTTGTTGTTGATGTTGTTGATGACGAGTGCGATGCTGACAATGCTGGTGAGGATGGTACTGATGATGCTGGTGTTGATGTGGACGTTGCCCCTATTGATGAGGATGATGACGATGATGCTGCTGCTTATGATGATGCTGCTGCTGCTGCTGATGATGATGATGATGATGATGATGATGATGATGATGATGATGATGGTGATGATGATGATGATGATGATGATGATGGTGGTGGTGGTGGTGATGATGATGATGATGATGATACTGATGATGATGCTGCTGCTGATGATGATGATGATGATGATGATGATGATGATGATGATGATGTGGAGGAGGAGGAGGAGGGAGATGATGATGTTCATGATGAGAGGAGAGGCTCTTTCAGCAAGCTCGCGCGCGGACAGCCGAGGCTGGGGCCAGCGTGTGGGTGGCCACGCTGGTGCTGGGCTTGTGCGTGCGGGCGGCCAGCAGGTGGCGACCGCCTCGGCACGCTGCTGTCGGCAGTGCCTCCTGCACTTGCTGCCGCGGTCGCCGCCTCTTGCTGCTGCTGCTGCAGGTGCTGACCACCGTGCTGGTGGCGGTGGTGCTGCTGCTGCTGCGTCGTTCCCGGTGTGCACCTCGCGGCTCTCCTCCTCCCGCCTCTGGAGACCCTGGGTGCCAGCCCCGCGCCGCGAAGCGTCGCGGAGCGTGGCACACCGAGATGCGGCCTGGTGGAAGGGGAGCACAGCCGAAAGCCCGCCAGCCTGGCAGCCTGGCAGCTCCCTACGGGAGTATTCCCTGCGAGCAGCGTGCCCCCCCCCCGTCCTCAAAGCTTGGAGTCAGTCACCGCTGCCCCCTCGTGCTTTCAAGGAGGATGCCTGCAGGCGTAGCAATGCTAACGTCTCTAGGCCTCTGGCAGCGAGAGAGCATACACTTGATCGGCTGCCCCGAACGGTGGCCTGAGAGGAGAACGAACAACGATTTGACTGTGAAAAGTCAGATGGGGGGGAAGAAGTGTCGGGACGCGGACAAAGAGAAGCGAGTTCGAAGCAATGATGATCCATGACAAGACGATCGACCGAAGCCGCAAGACCCTAAGAGAAATCCGTACCTCGCGTTGCCTGAAAACAAAGCGCGCGAAGCGGAGGTATGTTTCTAAATGTGGTGTTTGAAACAGACGCCGAATAAGAAACACGCCTTGGAGCCATTGGCGGCAGCCAGAGCGGGAACCGCCCCAGGCCCACCTCCATGGCTGACAACGACTGGTGCCATGGCAGTATTTTTCCTTTCAGGCCACAGTTCATCGCATGGGCTTGCCCGTGACAGGTCGGCTCGCGTAGCGTTCCTCGTTGACTGGCGATCGTCTGTTTCACGCTACTGTGCTAGTCACGCCGTGGTGAGGCTCAGTGGTCGCGCGCTCCTCTTCTCCTTTTCTTCTGAGGGAAAAACACTGGATCGGCTGTCCGAGTACGATTGTCAATGAGCGGAACGGTGGGGAGGAGCAGGATGAGCTTGAGGAGGAAGCGGAGGAGCAGGAGCAGGGGCAGGAAGAGGCGAATGATCAGGTGCAGGCGAAGGCGGGGGTGGCCATGGGAGTGGGCAGACCTCAACCCAGTGGCAGTCGTTTCCCCGAGGTGTGCCCCACCAGTAGTCGCCCGGTCCCCTCAAGTTCTTGCCTCGTGGAGGCATTGCCCGACAGCGGCACCGCCCGCAGCGGGTGCAAGAGGTGCTGGGTCGAGCGGGGCCTCGCTTCCCCAGAGAGGCTCCAACTTTCCGACACTGAACCCGATGGCAGCCAGTGCCACGATCAAGGATTGCCCCCTCGGCCGGTGCCCCTCACAGACTTCTCGAAGTGCAGATCCAGGGGCGCCCCAGTACAGTAACGCCCGCCCGAAGGTCTACCGCCTCTCTCACTCTCTCTATCGGCAGTCCTTCTCATCGCTTGCATGGCGGGTGTAGGACAGGGGCATCGTTACTCCGTGCGGACCGCAAGGATCATGCCGTGAGGGCTTTAGGTGTGCTTTCAGGCACCTTGCCATCGCCGTCGGGAGGTCGTACACGACAGGTCCGGTCGATGTGTCCTAGGGGGCGCAGCTGTGGGAGAGATCCAGTGGCCCTGTCACCGCTGCTCACGGGTACGAGCCATGAGCCAGCAAGCGGGGATCAAGTAGTACAGGAGCAGCACCGCAGGGGAGTGCACCCTTCCCTAGCGCGGATCAGCGGCAGCGAGGGGCTTGCCCCGCCAGAAACGCTGAGGACGCAGCAGGACAGAGGGACGAGTTGCTGCCAGAGGCAAACAAGAACGCACAACACGCAGTCATATTGCAAGCAGCAAGCAAGTCCAACAAGTAGCACGCAGGAGGGGGGGATCACAGGAACGGCGCTGAGCGGAGGAGGTGCGGGAGTTTCTTTGCTTCGCGGAAAACTGCAGAATCATTGCAGCTGTCGTTGCCCGTTCAGGTCGAATAGCCTTGGGGGGTTCAAATCTGAGTGTCCGCGGGCACAGGATACCGTGCCGTGGATGGCCGATCACGCGTCCTCCCCACCAGCGCCCTGGCTCGTTTTTGTTTCCTCTGCTTCTTCCGCCTGCTCCTTCTTGCCCTGCACATCCGCTCTGGCTCGAGCCCTTGATATACACGTTAAGTTCCGCGCAGTTATTATATCTAGTGGCCTTTGGCCCAACCCGCCACCTTGCCTGGGTTGTTGACTGGAGGTCTCTGAGGTGCCTCTTGAGATCTCGTGGGAAGCCTCTTTGGCTCCTGGGGGCCTTTAGGGGCCTCTTGGGGCCCCCCTGGCGGTCTCGGATGCCACCCTGGGGTTCAACGCTCCAAATGTCAGCTCATCTTCCCTCTCTTGGGTCCCTGTTGGTGCCGTCTTGAGGGTTTCCTGGACTGCCTTTGGAGGCTTGGAAGACGTCTTGGGGCGATTTTTTGGGCCTCTTGGGCCGTTCTGGACGCTCGTGATAACGAAGAGGCGACCATTCTGAATTCTGAGCGATTTTGGCCTCTCGGGTCAGCTCCCATGGCCTCCAAGAGGGGCCAAGAGGGCCACAAAAGGACTCCAGGACGGGCCCTGGGACCATCTTAGGCCACGTTGGAAGTGTGAAAACGTCATGCGAGACGCCCGCCCTGGTAGAGCCCAAGAGCGCCCAGAACCCTGGTCTCTGGGCCCCTGCAAGGGTGTTTACAATGCTCAATGCAGAGAGCTCGACGGGGCCCGTGGACACGCCACTCAGTGCCAACGGTACGGTGCCAGATATCCCTGGGCCAGCAATGCGCTCGGTCATCGTGCTCCTGCTGCTGGGCGTGCCCCACGTCGCGGCGCTGCAGGCTGGCGTGGAGTCGGCGTCCGAGAGGAAGCAGAGGGTGCTGACGGAGCTGACGGAGCACGTCGAGGGCCTGCTGCAGACCTTGGACCAGGGGGCGGGGAAGGGCAACCAGACGGTGCCGCACGTGAAGCTGCAGGCGCACAAGGCCCACGGGGAGGCCAAGAGCGAGCACAAGCATCAGGCCGCGACGGAGCACAAGCCCAAGGCCGCAGCTGCTGGCCAGCACAAGGCCAAGTCCGCCTCGCTCCACAAGCAGGAGCAGAAGCACAGTGCGAAGGCGAAGTCCACCAGCGTGCAGAAGGGCAAGACGGGCGAGGCGAAGCTCCAGCTGCACGCCAAAGGGAAATCGGTGGCCCATCACAAGGCCAGCGCCGGAGCGAAGGGCGAGCACAAGTCCAAGGCTGAAGGCAAGAGCCAGCATAAGGTCAGCGCTGCGGGCTCAGTGGAGCACAAGCACAGCCAGCAGCACAAGGTGAAGGCGGAGGCCAAGGTCCAGCACAAGTCCAAGGCTCAGGCGGCAGGCCAGCACAAGGCCCACGCCACAGCGAAAACACATCACGCGGCGAAGGCGGAGGGCAAGGGGCAGCACAAGGCCTAGAGCGAGCTTCCGTAGCTGGGTGCGAGCAGGGGTACAAGGACCACCAGGCGATGATGCAGGCCAGGGCGTGATGTTAGACCACCGTCGTGGCAGAATTGATGATAAGCAGATATCGAAATGCGCCTCCCAGCTGTTACCACCCGAAAACTTCATTGCCCGTTTGGTCTGTGCCGCCGCCGCCGCCGCTGCCGTTACACCATTTTGTTCTGGCGTCCTGGTGCATGGCTGGGGAGTGCATCACGACATGGCAACCGACGAGCATGTCCAGCCGCGCCGCCGCCTTCGCCTGCCCCCGTGCTCGGGTGCACAGGGTCGGGGCGCATAGCAAAATACATACCCTGGGGGAGATTGAGGTGTTCGCGTGTGGCATTCTCGGATCGAGGTAAAGCATGCTGACACAACTCGTCGCGTGTGCCCGCATCGGCGGGGCCGCACTGGGAGTAGGAGATTATCGGGTCACCAGGTTTTGCTGATTCCAAGACGCTCCCCAGGTCGTTAGGGTTAGCCGCGGACCCGTACATAAAAAGGTGTCCCAGAAGAGCAGGTGTGACAAAAGCGGTTGCAGAGAGACGACGAATTGGGGTAATTGTCATTCTGCCCTTTCGTAGCCCCTTGTCTCCGTTTCGTGACCGCCTCAGGTGATCATCATTCTCATCCTTTTCCTCGTCCTCATCCTCATATCTTTATCCTCCTCATCCTCCTTCAAGTCATCATCATGGTCGTGTCCCTTGGCGAAGCGGTGCGATCAGCATCATCACCATCATTATCACTACCACCAACAACATGAACAATATCATAGTCATCTGCATCTTCAGTCTCACCAGCATCACCATTATCACGGTCATCATTGTGTTAGTATGTTCATGATGATGGTGACCAGCATCATTAACAGCATCATCACCATTATCCTCATCGGCCTTATTATCATCATCATTGTCATCATCATCGTCATCAACACTAACACCATCATCACCGTCATCATCATCATCACCACCACACCATCATCATCGTCCTCATCATCTTCATCACCAACACCATCATTATCATTTTTCATCATGATCACCACCACCATCATCATCATGAGCTCATCACATCCACCTCATCATCGTTATCGTCATCATCATCGTCGTCATCGTCGTCGTCATCATCACCAGCATCATACAATCGTTTAGCATTGTCATCATCATCATCACCATCGCCATCACCCTCACCATAATCATCATCATAATCATAATCATCACCATTTTCTCACCATCATCATCAACACCATTACCATTATCATCATCATCGTCATCATCATCGTCAACAGCATCATCATCGTTTTCACAATCCTCAAACCATCATCACCATGAGCTCATCACAGCCACCTCATCATTGTCATCATCATCATCATCATCATCATCATCGTCGTCGTCATCGTCATCGTCGTCATCAGCATGATCATCATCAACAACATCATACCAGCATTTAGCATTGTTATTATCATCATCAGCATCGACATGACCCGCACCATAATCATCATCATCGCCATCATTATCACCACCACCATCATCATCACCATTTTCACCTCATCATCATCATCATCATCATCATCATTATCATCATCATCAGCAACATCAACAACATCAACATCATCGTTATCGTCGTCATCATCATCATGACCCGCTGTCACACGCAGAGATGCCAATCTGCTGTCATACCTAGGAGAGGGGGGGGGCAATGGCCCCTTCTGGGCTGGGTGAAGGCCAGCACAGGGGGTCTGGCAGATGGCCTTCTGCCACCGCCTGGGCGTGGCTCCACCTTGCGGGCCACGCGCCGCCCGCAGCGCGCTGTCGCCGCTGACGGCGCCGGCGAAACAGCGCGGGACTGCCGCGAGCCTCTCGGCCGCCTCGCTGCGCACGCTTTGGCGTACCATCCGCAGTGCCATCTGCCTGCGAGCGCACTGGGGCTGCCCGCGGCCTCAAAGACGAGCTGCGCGTCGCGGGGGGTAAGGTCCGACGGATCGATCCACGAAGCTGCTGTGGACCTCGTCGTCGGCTTCCGTCCACCGCTCGGCCCGGGGGGCTGGACGTTGGCGTCCAGGTGCCCTTCGGCAGCTCCCTGCCCACGGTCGGCCGGGTCGCCCGAGCTGCAGCGTCGGTGGGGGGCCGCGCCAAGGCAGCCCGCCACGGTGACGTCTCAGCGCGGGCTTGGCGTCATTTACCGCCGAGCTCGCAGCCTGGTCGCAGCTGCACTGGCGCCAGTTGCGGGTCGGTCGCAGGGGCACGACGGCTCAAAGCGTCGGCGGATTGTACTAGCACGGTGGTCGTGCTGGCGCTGGGAAACTGAAAGCCTTCGCGCGCTCAATCCGCAAGGCCGCACCAGGATTCCGCGACCAGGAGGTGCCCCGATCACCATCGTCATCACCATCATCATCATACTCAGAATAATAATAATCATCATCACTATCATCATCATGAACAGCATCTTCATCTTTACCATCATCATCATCGTCACCATCATCACCATCACCATCACCATTACCATCACCATCATCATCATCATCAGCACCATCATCTGGTACAGACACCAACATTTGGTACGGGCATCATCATCATCGTCACCCCCACCACCACCAGCGTCATCATCATCACCATCATCATAGTCATCATCATCATTGCCTCCATCATCTCCATCATCATCAGTCATCAGCGTCATCATCACCGCCACCTCTACCATTATCACCATCGTTAGAATCATCATCATCACCATAATCTTCGTCGTCGTCGTCGTCGCCGTCGTCGTCACCATCGTCACCAACATCGTCACTATCACTATCCCCATCATCATCACCGTCATCATCATCACCATCATCATCATATTCGCCGTCGTCCTCGTCATCTCCATCTTTACCACCGCCATCATCATCATCATCATCATCATCATCAGCATCTTCACCATCACCCACACCATTACCATCATCATCATCAGCATTATCATCACCACCACCTCTACCATCATCACCATCATCATCATCATCATCTTCGCCGTCGTCCTCGTCGTCGTCGTCGATGTCGTCGTCGCCGTCGTCGTCGGCGTCACCATCAACAACATCACCACCATCATCATCACCATCACCAACATCATAGTCAACATCATCCTCCTCCTCAACATCATCAGCGGCATCACCATTATCATCATCATCATCACCACCATCTTTACCATCATCATCACCACCATCATCATCAGCATCATCAATCATTGCCACTATTATCATCGTCGTGTTCTTCATGGCCATCGCTACCACCACCATCATCATCACAGCTTCCACCATCATCATCATCATCACCATCATCTTCATCATCAGCATCAGCATCGCCACCATCATCATTGTCATGTTCTCTACCACCATCGCTAACACCACGACCATCATCATAGCCACCAGTATCATCATCATCACCACCATCACCAGCATCATTATCACTACCATTGCCATCGCCACAATTATTATCATCATCACTATCCCCATGATCATCGTCATCACACTCATCATCATCGTCATCATCATCATCATCATCATCATCATCATCGTCATCCACATCACCACCACCACCATCCTCCTCCTCCTCCTCCTCCTCCTCATCATCATCATCATCATCTGGAGGGGGACTCATGTCATTGTAGTAGACCCTGTGTCGGGACCCTCGGGTCAGCGCGGCGCACGAGGATGCGGCGCGGTGCGAACGGCACGCAGCAGCGTGGCACCTCGCTTAGGCGGCATGGACGACATCCGCGCGGAGAGCCAAAAGTTTATGTGTATGTTGTTTTTTTCTCTCCCTCTTTTCGAATGGTGTTGATAGGTGACCAAGGCGAGCGTCGTACCGCTTCCGCTTGAAGCGGCGTGCAGCAATATATGTTGAGAGCGCATGCTGTCTACCATCGTTTGCGACGAACGGAACACATGGCTTTAGCATGCACCCTTTTACATATTCCATTTCATGTCCCATCTCCCAGCTGCACGTTCATACTTCCAGTACGGTTGGGCCTTGGGAACGCTTAAGGCGTAATCTATGGTTTGGCTTAGCATGTTGCTTTCGGCTTGGGGAGCCTCGGGGGCCGTCTTTGGGCGGTCTTAGGGCGCCTTGGATGCTTGTGGGGCAAAAGGATGAATAATAGTAACATTCAATGACGACGGCGGCTTGCTCATGGTACCATCATGTGCTGGTTGATCAGGTCAGACAGAGCTGCCCTTCCATGGACAGGCTGTCGGGCCATACATGGGCTAGCGTATCCTCTTCTCGTCTCGCCCTCGTCGTAGTCCGCGTGTCGTCGCTCGTCTGCTTCCTGTGTTTCCTCCACCTATTCCTCGTTGGCCTTCCGTTCCATTCTGGCCGAAGCCCTTGATCATAATCTGAACATCCGTGCAACTATTATCGAAGACGCCTACGGCGAATCACCGCCGCCCCCTGCCTTTTTGGACGCGCCTATGTGGCCGAACGTTGAGACCAGATCTGCCAAGCTATCGGACCATGTGTTCCCCGAATCCGTTTGGAAAGCCTTCGGGGAACACGTGGGCATCTTGAAGGCCATGCCGTCTGGAGGCCATTTAGACCCTTTCGGGCCTTCTTGGAGGACATCTTGGAGGGCTCTTGGGCCGTCTTGGAGGCCATCTTGAGCGTCTCGGAGGCCTCTTGGGCCGTCTTGGGGGCCTCTTGGGGCCGTCTTGGGCCTCTTGGGCGATCTTTGGGAGCACTTGGGCAGTCTCGGCCGTCGAACGGCAGAAAAAAGCAAATGCCACAATCCTTCAAAAACTCATGGGAAATCAATGATTTTGGCCTTTCTGGGCCTTCCTGGAGGCCCTCTTGGAGGCCTCTTCGGCCGTCTAGGGCCGTCTTAGGGCCATCTTCGGCCGTTTTGGTGGGCTCCTGGCCCGTCCGACGCCCTCGCAAGCCGTTTGGGGGGCCTCTCTGGGCCGAGCTTCTTGGGCCGTCTTGGGGGCCTCTTGGGGCCGTCTTGGGGGCCTCTTGGGCCGTTTTGGGGCCATCTTGGAGGCCTCTTGGTCGATCTTTTGCTGATCTTTGGGGGCTCGTGGGCCGTCTCGGGCCGTCGGAAGGCCGAAAAGAAGCACGTGTCAAAATCCTTCAACAACCTAAGAACCCGTGTTTTTGGCCTTTTCTGGCCTTCCTGGAGGCCCTCTTGGAGGCCTCTTGGGCCGTCTTGGGCCAGCTTCGAGCCAACTTCGGCCATTTTGGTGGGCTTCTGGCCCGTCTGACGCCGTCGGAAGCCGTTTGGGGGGCCTCTCTGGGCCGACTTGGGGCCCTCTTGGGGCGTCTTGGAGGCCTC